GCCGCGCCAGGCCGGGCCCAGGGAGCGGGAGGGCGCCAGGCTGCCCCGGGGCTGGGCACTGCCCTCTTCGAAGAGGCTTCCGCCCAGCTAAGGGCCGCGCGGGCGGCCGTAGCTGGGCAGGGCAGGGCAGGGCGCGGAGGTGCCTATCCGTTCTCCGACCTGACGGGCACCAGCAGCTCGGTCAGGCTGGAAACTCCCCGCGAGGATCACAGCCCGGCCCCAGGGAGCCCGCGCACGGAGCTGGGGCTGCAGTGGCCCAGGCCCACCCCCGCTTCCCGGCCCGGCGGCTCCACTGGGTCACCAGGGAACTACACTTCCCAGCAGCACTTACGCGTAGTCGTCTTACTGCGGCCACTTCCGACCCCGTGGAACTACATCTCCCAGGAGGCCTCACGCGCCATTCTCCCTTGGCTTCTGGGTGGTTCCTCCACGTGGGGACTACAGCCCCCAGCAGGCACCGCGGCCTCCCGCAGCTCACTGCCGAGGTCGACTCCTGCTCCTGCACTTCCGGCGCTAGGCCCGGAAGTGTGGTTGCATCCCGTTCTTTCCGCTTTATCGAGCGGGAGCAGCAGGTGGGTGGTTTTTTCGCGGGGCGCGCCCTGTCCCCTTTCTCTGTTTCCGTTGCCCCGTTGTCATGGTAACACTGCATCCGCCCAACCGGCGCTCGCGGGCCCGGGAGGTGCCCGCCCAGCCCGTGGGTCCCCTGCCCCGGCCCTGAGCGGCCTCATCGTGCCTCGTCTCCACCCCCGCCCCCCGGTCCTGCCATAGTCGCTGTGCTGCTGCGCGGCCCGATCTGGCAGACACGGGCCGAAAAGGGAGTGGGGGTGGGGCCCTCGGCCCGGCTGGTTCCAAATAGGTCTTCGGAGCCGTGGAGAGCCTCGGCCCCAGGCCCTCCTTCCCGTGGTGTGGCATCTCTCTGTGTCTCTGTGACAGGCCTGCAAGGGGGAAGCGATGGCAGAGGAAACTGGGGATGAGAAAAAACAGGTGGCCAAATTTGAGCTGGAGCGGGAGACAGAGCTCCGCTTCGAGGTGGAGGCCTCCCAGACTGTCCAGCTAGAGTTGCTGACGGGCATGGCAGAGATCTTTGGCACGGAGCTGACTCGGAACAAGAAGTTCACCTTTGACGCTGGCGCCAAGGTGGCAGTGTTCACCTGGCATGGTTGTACGGTGCAGCTGAGCGGCCGTACGGAAGTGGCTTACATCTCTAAGGACACCCCGATGCTGCTGTACCTCAACACCCACACGGCCCTGGAACAGATGCGCCGGCAGGCAGAGCGTGAGGATGAGCGGGGGCCCCGGGTCATGGTAGTGGGCCCTACGGATGTGGGCAAGTCAACTGTGTGCCGGCTACTGCTGAACTACGCTGTGCGGCTGGGACGCCGACCCACTTTCGTGGAGCTGGATGTGGGCCAAGGCTCGGTCTCTATTCCTGGCACCATGGGCGCACTGTACATTGAGCGGCCTGCAGATGTGGAGGAGGGCTTCTCCCTTCAGGCCCCCCTGGTCTATCATTTTGGATCCACCACGCCTGGCACCAACATCAAACTGTATAACAAGGTGAGCAGAAGCAGACTGGTAGTGGAGAGAATCTAAAGGTTTTTCCTGCCTTCCCCTCAAGTTCTGTAGAACCAAAAAGGCATTCTATCCCTGGAGCATCTGGTTCTGAGACTGGGGGAGACTGCCTGTGGAATGGTATACGTTGCACGTGGGGTGGTTATTTGTGCACAAATACTTGTCCTACTTTTTGCACAGACAAAGGCATTTTGGAAGGGATGTTTCAACAGGTTGCACACAAGTGACACCAGGAGATGGTTGAGGCATCTTCGGCCTTCTCTGTCTAATATGAGGACCATTTTAATTAGTACTAGCAAAAACGTTTCAGATTGTTCAGTCTACCCACTAGACAAGTAGGTGTTTCCTTGTCCTTGTCAGGTGTGCTTGAGGAGCTATTTGTATGTGGCCACAATTTCTTCCTGTGGTGGCTGCCAACAAAGGATATGAACCCAACCCTGAGAAAGGAAGGACAGAGTGGGAAGGATTGTTTCAGATATCCACTTCTCTGCCTTCATAGGTCCAGATATCCACCCCCCTCCCTTGATGGATTCCAGCTCTTGATGTCTCTTTCTCTTCCCAGATCACATCTCGTCTGGCTGATGTCTTTAACCAGCGCTGCGAGGTCAACCGCCGGGCTTCAGTCAGTGGCTGCATCATCAACACGTGTGGCTGGGTGAAGGGCTCTGGGTACCAGGCACTGGTACATGCGGCCTCTGCCTTTGAGGTGGATGTGGTGGTAGTGCTGGACCAGGAGCGTCTCTACAATGAACTGAAGAGGGACCTTCCTCACTTTGTGCGCACAGTGCTTCTTCCCAAGTCAGGTGGTGTGGTGGAACGCTCCAAGGACTTCCGGCGGGAATGCCGGGATGACCGTATCCGGGAGTACTTCTATGGCTTCCGGGGCTGCTTCTATCCTCATGCCTTTGATGTCAAGTTCTCTGATGTCAAGATATACAAGGTGGGTGCACCCACCATCCCTGACTCGTGCCTGCCCCTCGGCATGTCACAGGAGGACAATCAGCTCAAGCTGGTGCCAGTGACTCCGGGCCGTGATATGGTACACCATCTACTGAGTGTGAGCACAGCTGATAGCCCCGATGAAAACATCTCTGAGACTAGTGTGGCTGGCTTCATTGTGGTCACTGGTGTGGACTTGGAGCGCCAGGTCTTCACAGTTCTCTCACCAGCACCACGCCCCCTGCCCAAAAACTTCCTGCTCATTATGGACATCCGCTTCATGGACCTCAAATAGGGGCTGCACTGGTGGAGAAAAGTAAACTTCCCCAGTTTGTCTCCTTCATGGTATAATGACTAAGGACTAGAAGGGGAGGAGGAGATACAGTCTTTTATGCAAGCTAAATCAGACTGAACCAGGATGGGAAAAGTGAGATGCTGCCGTCCAGATTGAACTATTGGGAGAAACCAGAGAAGGTGGGATGAGAAGGTTCAGGGAATGATTCATAGGTAGATGTGGTTTGGAAAAGGTATGGTTCAATGCAATTGTAAATAAGGTCACTGGTTGTTTACATCCTTCCCTAAGTATCCTCCCTTTCCTAAAATCTCAGGCCTCTTGCACCTTTTATACAGCACCAGGTTGTTTAATGACCTGTAGGAGAGGACCTGCATTGTCTTTTATATTTTTTTGTAATTTTAATAAATGTTCTGGTCTTTTGTTGTTTGATAATGTATGAATTTTATCCAACCTCTTTCAGCTCAAGTGATAGAGAGGGGGGAATTTCTAGGGCATGTATGAGGGGGCCTCTTGGCTTTGGAGTGAGGAATTTCCAGGCAATAGACACACACATAGACTGAGGCCCTTCAGCAGTGTTGATCGTAACTCCAAATGCCAGTAAATTCACTTCCTCCTGTCCTCCTGAGATGACTGAAAATTAAACATGGCTTACCCACGCAGCTAAGAGCCATTATGCTATCTTGCATTCATACAGCTAGCTCCCTTTTCTTTCAGTCCCCTTCCTAAAGTTAGCTTGCCAGAATGCCTACAACACATGCACTCCTGGGTGAGCAATTGTGGCCACTACTTGAAGTGCTCTGCTGCTGCTTCTCCACCAGCTGTTTTCTCTTAGATTTGAACTTTCTCCCATCTGACATGGCCATCACGTCCATGGTTTCTGAGTACCTCACAATCTGTAATGTATTTGTTGTCTCAACACTTCTGTAAGGTAGAGCAATGATAGTAGCCACATTTTACAGATGGCTATTAAATGATTAGGTCATGGTTACATATAGGGTCTATGGCAGAGTAGGGGATTGAATCTAAAGTCTCCTAAATGCTAGACTGGTAATCTAATTAGCAGACCATCATCTGTCTTTTTATTATACATTTGTACAGAGCCTCACACCCCAGAACCCTGATCACTGGCAGCATGAGACTGATATAAATAACAAAACAATATTAGTTCTTGCTGTGTGTGGAGTAGGGAGGTAAAAGGCTAAACCGTTAATCGTGATAAGTGCAGTGATAACTGGTTAGCTTGCTGGTTATAATTTACCGGGGGGGGCGGGGAAGGGAAGGAAAGGAAAGGAAAGGGAAGCTGCCTGGTGCCCCAGCAAGAATCAGCAGGCAGGAGGGAAGTGGGGAGGAGCAAGGGGGACTAATACCCATACCTTAAGAGGAAAATGGCAAGTAACTCAATGACTCATCGGTTAAGCAATTCAGCAGGACTTCAGGAGGGCTGTTGTCTGGCTGGGTTTGCCTCCTTCCCTCCTCCCCCTAGTCAAAGGGCCCCTGGAGAAGGTTCCTAGCAGCAGCTGTCTGAGCTGCTGTGTTATTGCTTAATCGTTTACCCTGGTATAATTAGAGGAGGTTAAACAAATATTTTTAAAACAATTACTTGCATCCCTAGTGTAGAGCCTGGAGTTTGAAAATGTAATGCAGCAGTCTGCATAGCAGAAGAGTGGGGATCTAATGTTAAGATCTGTGGGAGTCGCAGGAAGACAAGGTTCTGAATTTTAGGCTGGGGGCTTCCAGTCCGTCCTTGTCATACACCTTTTTACTGGGACCAAGAGGTTGTTGATCAAAACCAGTTGATTTCTTACAGTGACTATCTACTTTAGCCATTATAAAAGAGAGTGCTTTGGGGGAGAAGGTATGAAACCAGGTTTCCCAGCTGAACTGATTACAGCACACAGCTCAGCTTATCTATCACATATATGAATTCATGCTTTGACTTCTTCTGAAGATCAAAAGATTCTTCAAGAGCTCCAGATAAGGACCCATTGCTTAGATTACCCAATCCCTAAAGCTATGTAGACCCCTTTTTTCCCCCAGGAACAAGACCTGCTGAAAAAAGTCTGTATAGGAAGCAGTTGTTATGCTGTGAGAACTAGAGACAGACTATGCAGCATTTACAGGAGAAACTCCTGATCTGGGCCTCCAAGCCTGTGTGTGGGTCAGAAGAAAACCACCTAAAATTAAGACTAAGATACTTACCTAGTATCACATAAACACCAACCAGTTAGCTAGCTAGCTTTTATATTCCTGTCCATTGCATTACAGAATCATAGAAAAGTTAGACCTGAAGGGACCTCAGGTCATTCTAGTTGTGCTAAAGGCAGTCTCCCAACATCCCTTTGTGCTTTCCCTGCAAGCCCTCCCTCACAGGATGGGT